CAAAAAACTTAAGAACTGCTTAAGAAATAAAACAAAACTGATATTGCTGATCATTGCAGAGTACCGACATAGAATTCATTCCCAAGTTAAACACTGATAGCAACATCCCAGTTAATATAAAGGAAAGTAAAGAAAGAGTACTTACCAGGCTCACAGAGAAAACTCGACTGAAGAGGAGTTGTTGGTGAACTTGGAGGAAATGCAACGCTTTTATATACCCCTTCGGACTGCTACCAGAATATGCAACGTGCTTTTGTACATGGGGCATAATAGTTAGCCAGCAAAACATTTTGCTGTATAAGCTACTTCTAATTGTAATAATTGTTTTGATAACTGATAATGATTAGTAAATCAGCTCCACATCATATAGTATGCACAACACACCCTTTGTCTTACTTTAATCCTTAAATAGTTTTCACATCCATTTTACGACTAGTGCCATCTCCTGACCCCACTTGAATTGCAATGGTAGGGAATTGAGCTCCATTTGCTTAGCAAGGTCAAGGCATCAGTCTTTCCCTTAAGCAAGACAAAAACATTAGTTTGGCTTTGTCAGGAGAAATATTTTCTGTTCTGCAGAAGATTCCATTTAAATTTAGAATTGCACAGAGTTGGGAAAACTGCAAATTTAATCTTTATAGCTCCTCAGATGGGAGGGGTCATTTTTTCTGCCTGTTTAACATCCACCCAAGTAACTGCTTACAGAAGTGATTAATTAAATGTCCACTGTCATCCAAGTGGAAGCATCATGTGAGAACATGGAGTAATTTTATTATCATCCTTCTCCTTTCATCACCTTTCAGGAGAGCTGCAATATTCTAGCAAGACACACTGCTGTTGTCCAGGAGGCATCATTTGAGAAAAAAGAGTCCTTTTGGATATGGAATTGATGCATGTAGAGTGTGTAAAGATGATTTAATCTAAAACAGAACAAAAGCATCTTAAGAATGGCAAGGACTATTTTTTTCAAGAAAGCCACGGCAGTATTCCTGGACTAGTACTTAAAATCCTCATATATTAGGAGACAGAGCTACAAGAGCATAAATAGGAAGAGATATCTCTGAGCAAGATATCCTTCATCAATAACCAGAAACATAGTGAGAACATTAGATGTGATCAATATTTTTGTGTGGTTATAACAGATAAACATCACGTGGAATAGTGCCAGCCATATCAAACACCCAACTTAAATATTTCGTTTCTGAATCCAAGTAAACTAAAGTAATTCTAGATTTTGACTCTCAGTCATGGCTGTGGGAGGAAAGCAACTGCAGCCTATCTGAATCTAAATGGTTGGGTTTTCAGCCTGTTCCACTTAGAATCATAGAATCGTCAAATGGTTTGGGTTGGAAGGGACCTTAAAGATCATCTGGTTCCAACCCCCCTGCCATGGGCAGAGACACCACCAGACCAGGTTGCTCAAAGCCCCATCCAACCTGGCCTTGAACACTTCCAGGGATGGGGCATCCACAGCTTCTCTGGGCAATCTATTCCTTATCATTCTATGCTTAATGTTTATATCATTATAATATTTATGTTATGTTTAATGTTTATATCATTTATATCACCAAATTTCTGGTATTTTCAAGCCCAATTAGAAAATAGAGCACAGGGAGCTTATATGGTTAAAATCTTGCATCAGAATGCGAACGAGTCCTATCAGGCATCAGTGGGCAGCCCTTGATTTGACAGTTCTGCTAGTCAGCAATTCTTCGTTAACACCTCAGTTAATGTGAATCTTCCTGGTTTCCTACAGTTCGGTTGAGAAATATCAATTTACATGAAGAACCCTGGGCACTGCTGCTGTTTCTCACATTTCATCACCACTGGCAACCAGTAGCACTTCTATTAACCACCCAACTATTTGTAATCCAGATTTTGAAGAAGAAAAATGGAATATTGTGTATGAAACCTGTTTATCAGCTCATTACAATCCTCACATGCGTCTAGACTCATCCCAGTTTACACTCCAGTGAGGGCCAGGGACAATATCAGCTGCTAGGTGACTTTGTCAGGATCGGAGTATAAAATAAAATTACACAAGGTGTGTAATGCTTGTAACATGACTTGGAATTAAGAATAAAGTCATGATCACTTATGGGAACAATTAGAACAATTAAAGAAATAAACCATACAGCAAAACATAGTTTGGCAATTCGTAGGAAGCTCTTGCACAAAGCATGGCTCACATCCCACTGGTGGTCTGAAGAGGTATATAAGAGCGCTCTGAACGCTTCGGTTTCATCAACGACAGCTCTTCATCTACGCTCCTCCAGACCTGGTGAGTTGAATATGCTTCGTTCTATATATGAACCATTAGGAAAATCTTTTCAGTATCTAACTGAGGACTTAGTCTTCTCAGAAAGTGTGGTGCCGTTTGCCTTTTGTCATACATTAATTTTTATAGTCATTTAAATGTATGCCTTTGTAGACAAAGTTGACAAATTATAAGAATGGATTTTCACGGACACTTGGATCAATTCAATATTGACAATTAGCTACAGAGCTGTGTTATAATCCAACAAAATCTTGAAGATGAGCTACTTCCAAAGACACGTGGAGTTTGGCTTTGCTCTCCATGATTACCAGTATTTCTAGAGCAGCAGAAAGTACTTTGGGAAGTACCAGGTGTTAGTGCATGCATGTTCAGAAAAACATGTAAGAGAGAGAAACCTGAATCTTTCTAAACACTCTTCTTTCACCCTTTTTTTCATTATTGTGAAAGACATCAGAGCAAGCTTTTTTCCCTCTGTCATTTGGGCATTGTACTTATGCTTTATCTCCTGCTGCAGGTTTATCTACTTCACAAAAGATGTCTTCAGGAGGACAGCTCATGAGCAGTAGATGCTTCCCACCCTGCGAGGTGATCTGCCCAGATCCATGTGCGGAAGCCTGGAACTGGCCCTGCGTCACCTCCTGTGGGGACTCCCGTGCCGTGGTCTACGCACCACCAGTGGTCGTCACCTTCCCAGGCCCCATCCTCAGCTCCTGCCCTCAGGAGAGCATAGTGGGCACCTCGTTCCCAATACCCGTTGGGGGTTTTCCAGGGCCAAGGGGCTCTGTTGAATCAGGAGGCTCATTTGGTGCTGGGGGTTCATATGGAGGTGGCAGTTCCCTAGGAATGGGGGGCTCATACGGAGGTGGCAGTTCCCTAGGAATGGGGGGCTCATACGGAGGTGGCAGTTCATTTGGCTCTGGGGGCTCCTATGGAGGAAGCAGGTCATTTGGGAGCTCGTCCAGAGGCAGAAGATCCTTCAGCTCCAGAAGTTCCTACGGCGGGGGCTTTGGGGGCTCCTGTGGAGGAAGCTTGTCCTTTGGTGGGGGGAGCTCTCAGAGTGGTGGGGGCTACTGTGGTTACAGGAGGTTTGGTGGAGGAAGCTGTAGCTCCGGTTATTTCTGAAGGGGCAACGTCTTGTGCTCCAGCAGCCCTGGGCTGTGCTAACCTTGCAGGGGAAGCTGCAGCCCGGTGATGTCCAAGTGATCGACTTTGCTGGCACGCGTGGAGCTGCATCGCTTCCCAAAGCCCTGGGAAAGATCCTTTGTGCTCTGTGTGACTGTCTTCACCAAATGTATCCTCTGCTTCCCTGTCATTAAAGCTATGTTGCATTCAAACTCAACCCTCTATTTTTTTTTTCCCCCTTCTAACTTGTGTTGGAGCAGTGGAAAATGTTGCACGCTGTGACACATTTCAGGACTCATGTCGCTGAACTGGAATTTTACTTGCTGGCAATGTGTGATTATCTTACCTCTCAGCTGCAGAGCTACAAAACGATTCCAAACGAATTATCTAATTGTTTTCAAATTGAGCCTGTTTCTTCAGTCATATTAATGTTTTGCTTGGAGGTGATGAGTTTCTTTTCTGCAGTCATTAAATAAATCACAGATTAAAATCCCTTAACTTCTTTAAACACGTGAAACTCAAGCAATTGCTCAACCATGTGAGTATCCTCTAAATTCTTTTTTTTTCTATCTCCAGAAAAGTAGTCAATTAAAATTTTTGTTATTGCCATTTTCACCTTAGTTAGATAAAAGAGATAAAAGTTAGATTTTTTCAAAGCGGGACCTGGAATCTATGAGAGGGACATTCTGTGTTCTGGGTCTGCTAATAATCCCTGTGTTTAATAGAATCAATCAATCATAGAATCATAGAATACCAGGTTGGAAAGGACCTCAAGGATCATCTGGTCCAACCCTTAAAAGGTTTCAGTTCATCCTTCTTGACTTTCTGAACATGAACTATTCTGTAGTTCAACATGAAGTATAAAAAAAATATTTTAAAAGATCTTTCTTTGGTTCCTGATCTCCCTCATGTGTTTTCCAAGTAACATCAAATGGAGCAGTGCCAGGTTTTAACACATCTTTAGCGTTCAATAGACTTCTCTTGGAGACTCATCCAGCGGTCTCTTTGCGTTTCTACTCCCAGCTATAGCTACGGAAAACAACAACACAAGGCATTATTTCTGGTCTCGTGTCACTCATCACTTACGAAAGTCCGTATTGCACACCCTTGTGATACGAAAGCACATTACGCTGTCATATAAATGCAGCCCTTTGATGGGGCCACAGTCACAAGAAATTCCTAAGTGTCCTCAGGTATTTAACACTGTAAGTTCGAGGTGACAATTCTCAGAAATCAAGTAAGGCTTATGTGGTTGATTTTCTTTGGCTACCATTCACAGTTCCCAGAGAAATGTATTTTTATATTAGTTTGCATTCTTTAAGCACTCTTGATAATGTATTTAAGTTGCCTAAACCTCAGACATCTCCAAGGAACCATGATAATTCCTATGAACTGATTCTACATGAAATATGGTGACAGAATGGATGAACAGACTCCTTCAGAAGAGAAGATTTGAGCTAGACCACAGAGTGTAAAATAAAAAACCAACCTTATGAATTTCCAGTCTTCAGCTGGCCATGTCTCATCTCTTACACTTTTTTTTTTTCTTACACTTTTCCCCATTGGCCAGGGAGAGAGAATGTTAAGCAGCCTGACCTCTTCTGAAAAGGTCCTGTACATATGGCATTTTAAATCTCATCCCTCATTTGACATGAAGTGAAACAGCTGCACTGATGAAAAATGATTTATCTGAGGGTTGTCTGTGGCAAGTGACTTCTGTGTGCTATCTGTTCATGCACCAGCACAAAGTATTGAGTCATCAGCTTCAGAAACCTCTGTGCCCTATGGAGCAACAATGCTGGACTGTTTTATGTCCTTAAATTTTGAATGTTTCATTCAACCATCTTTTTCACAACACCTTTATTACTTAAGCAATTACTATCATATTACCATAAAAACACGTAATTGTTGCTCACAGGCTACGTAACCAGCTCTAGGAAGCCTACTGAGCTAGAGGAAAGGATAGGACCAAAACGGTCTTGTGGAGAACAAAAAGCTGAACAAAATTTGATGATGCAAAAGGATTTTAATGCAAATGGGAAATGGGATACACTGCAGAATGAGATGGCACACAACACGAAGCAGACACTTCTTCAGTTCCAGGGAAGGGCACAGCATTCACTGCCTATGAAGAGTCCATTTTCCACCGGTTGTTCTTCTCCTGTCACAGTTTTATTGACAATCTCTGTGTCAGGCCTTTCAAATTTTTCTTTTTCTTAATGAAAATAGGGATCTAGCATTATAAGATGATTAACAATAGACAAAGTGAAAAAAGCAAGAAAGAGGTGCGGGCCCAGTTTTCAGAGGTACTGAGCAAGGGTGGTTCCCGTGGTTGATGCAATGGGCTTTCACCATCTCTGAAAGCCAGCCTCAGCTGCAGATCTGGATCTTGCATTTTCGTCTCCTAAGTTGTTGCGTGGTCTGCAGGTATTCAGACTGCCTTAAAATGAACCACACTTTCCAAGGCGGGAGCCACAGCTGCTGCTGTAGGACCTCCTCCTGTAACAGCGCCTTATCCCCGAGGAGCCTCCATACCCAAAGGAACCCCCAGATCCATAGGAACTCCCCATCCCTGACATACCTCCGTACCCAAAGGAGCCCCCAGATCCAAAGGAGCCCCCCGTCCCTGACATGCCCCCAGAACCAAAGGAATCCCCCATCCCGTAGGAGTTCCCAGAGCTGTATGAGGTCAAAGCACCATAGGGCTGGGGAAACGATGTTCCCACAATGCTCTCCTGAGGGCAGCTGCTGAGAATAGGGCCCGGGAAGGTGAGGACGACCGGCGGGGCATACACAATGGCTGTGGAGTCCCCACACGATGTAACACAGGGTTCAAGGCTTCTGCTGTAGGCACACGGCTCTGTACACTTCACCTCACAGGGGGGCAAGCACCGGGAGCTGATGTTGTTGTAGTACATCGTTCTCAGGGCTTGAGGTGAAGCTGGGAAAGACAACGTGTAGTTAGGAAACCATCACAGTCAGGTGCTGATGGGTGCCCATCACACATATGACAGCAATGGGGATAGGTAGGCAGGTTAGATCCTTGTTCATGCTTCCTATTCCTCCCTCAAGTCCTCCTGTCCTGTGATCCCTTTTCTTCCTCCTTTCTTGCTCCTGTGGAAGATGCCTAGGATGTTGTTTATTCAGCAGGGTTTAGCTTTATATTTGCACCTCAAGTTTTGAAACACATAAGAAAAAATAAAGTAACTGTTAAAATTCTCTCTTTAAATGTAAAATTGATTCTTACCACGGTCTACAAGTTACTGCAGTGAGTTTCCTATGAAAAGTATGATTTCACTGCGACATCTTATCCCATTGCTAAAATCACAAAATACAGACATAGGAAAGAGTCCTCATTTAAAACTATCACTACAGCAACATGACAGATACAAAATTATTAGCTTAAATCAAACTCACCTAGAGCACCAGGACAGGTAATTCAGGAGACGTTTTTAGGAGACTTCTGAGATGTTCCTGCTTTTATACCTTTTTGCAGGCAACTCTAGAGATGTGAAGCACCTCATAAAATCCCTAGCACTTACCAAACTATGGGTTTTCTTTTCCGGGTGACTCCTCTAATACCTGTAATTATTTTGATAGTTTCTAACTAGTAAACTATCCACAGACCTACACAATATGACTCTCATATAATAAATTTGGGCTTTCTGTCATGTTGAAACTGTACAGCCAAATTCCTATGCAATATCATTCTGCTGACTACACTGGATTTACAGTGGACACTGATTGACCCCTGCTTACTATTTTTTGCTAACAATTTACCAAGAAGGGGCCCCCAGAAATATCAACCCTGCAAGTCTGCTTTCAGGAATGGCCTGACCCCCATGCTGAGCAACATGAGATAATTTTTAAGTTCAACCTAATTTGTAAGTTTGAGATCCACCTTGGAGCAAAAAGACCTGGTGATCTTTGGGTATGCCCTTGCAGTGGCCGCACTGGCATCCTCATCACAAGGCTCTAAGCATAACATCCCAAAGTGCATTTTGATACATACTTGGGTAAAATTACTTAGAGGGCTCAGAGCTTGAAGGAGATGTCACGTGTCACTTCAATCCCATTTATCTGTGCTTGCCTGCCTGTGAGGTGACATGCACACAGCCATGTGCCTACAGCAGAAGTCTTGAGCCTTGTGTTGCATCGTGTGGGGACTCCACAGCCATTGTGTCTGCCTCACCAGTCGTCCTCACTTTCCCGGGCCCTATTCTCAGCAGCTGCCCTCAGGAGAGCATTGTGGGAACATCGTTTCCCCAGCCCTATGGTGCTTTGACCTCAAACAGCTCTGGGAACTCCTACGGATCCTACGGATGTCTCCTTTGGGTATGGAGGTATGTCAGGGGTGGGGGGGTCCCATGGATCTGGGGGTTCCTTTGGGTATGGAGGCTCCTCGGGGATAAGGCGCTGTTACAGGAGGAGGTCCTACAGCAGCAGCTGTGGCTCCCGCCTTGGAAAGTGTGGGTCCTTTTAAAGGAGTCTGAATACCTGCAGACCACGCAACAACTTAGGAGACACAGCAGCAGCCATGTATCCCACCTTGGAAACTGTGGCTCATTCTAAGGCAGCCTGAATACCCGCACAACAACTTAGGAGACGAAAATGCAAGATCCAGATCTGCA